AAATAATAATGATCAATATTTTCAGGTAAAGATACATTCAGAAGATAGCTATATTGCTATAGATGCTGTAGAAATTGTATCAGAGCCTGATTTTCCGACATGTTCTCATAAAAACATCCCAGAATATCAGATCAATAGAGATCCTCCATATGCTGATCAACATAAAATCACCGCAGAGAATCAATTTATTGATACGTATGTTTACGTTTTGTCTGAATCCTTTGGTCGTTTTTACATGTATTCATACACGTATGTAAAATCTCATAATTATGAAGATATGAAAAACGTTTGAATTAAACTAAGAATATATACAGAATATGAGCAAATATTAAGAGTCAGATAAATATAAAGAACAAGATCATCGCATGTGGTGCTAACGTTAAAATGGGCAAAACTCCAAAAATATTGCTTACAGAATTATGTCCCTTGTCTAACAACTACACCTTGTCATGAAAAGCAAGAATTTCATATTTCATGTTGATAACTTTTGAAATGTTTAAATATTAAGCTAGATTAAAGTTTTAGCAAGACGACAACGACATCATTATTATCGTGATTATCATTATCATCTTTATCATTACCTATAGTTATGTCCCTAACATTAAATTTCTATTTTCCTTTTTTCTTTTATCTTAAAGTACCGTCCAATCTGGGATAACATACAAGTACACTGTTCAAACAATACAAGCGTCGAGAACAAGCGTGAACTCTCCCCATATTGTGTACACACATGGTCAACCGTTCTGTGGAGATGGTCTTATTAACGGGTAAGCGACCAACGTGAAGTTTAAATCTTTATGTTATTGTGACAGTCTGAGTTTGAGCCTTTTTTTGAACAACAACAAAAATACTATGTAAAGGTCTTAGGTCATATGGCTATTTTGAGTTTTTATCAATCAGTGATTAATCCAGAGTCCTTACGCGAATTAATCCAAAATCTTTGTCTGGTTCGAACCCCGCGGGACAAGTGATTTGAAATCAGTGACAAAAACCACTCGTTCATGAAATCTTTTTAAATAACGACATGGGTAAATAGATTTCATTTCGCTACAATACAGCATTACATTAAAAGTATGAAGAATGGTCGTGATTTCTGATTTAACCCTCATTTGGTTTTAATCAGGTCATTCGTTTACCCCATACTCACGGATATTTCGCATTTGGATTGGTAAATTTTGTACAGGTCTTAAGAATCTTTAAAGTCCGGTTTAATTTTGATCGCATACCTCGTAAACATACTGGACGCATTTGTTACATCCCTTTTAAAAAAAACTTTTTTGTGTCTAAAATCAAACACAGAGTGGCAACTTTAAGAAAATAAATAAAGTAGCAGGATTCTTGCTCTATGAAGGGCCGCTTTATAGAGGTTTCACGGTAATGTTATAATGTTTTCTATTGCTATAGCAACGAGGAATGTGATGATAAGAACGCTGTGGACGGAGATGGGTGTTCAATGGATTGCACAGTAGACGAGGGTTTTAAATGTCAAGGTCTCTTTTACGTTAATGTTTATTTGTGCCAATGTTTCTAGTGTATTGATATTATATATTTAGAATATTGAAATACACACAATGTAAATAAAAGAGATATAGTCGTTAGAATATATCTTTTGTCGATGACCTCATATAAGTGATAATGTTACGCGTTTTTCATTCACCTGAGTGAGTTTATTTTACAAAAAAAAAACAAGCAAAAACAGGACTTCCTATATCATTTAATTAAAAGTGTTGTTATCTATAAAAACCTTTTCATTATTTTTATTGCCAAACAACTTACCTTTTATTGCCAAACAACTTACCTTTGTTCTTTTTTTTCAAAATTAAGTTTCATATACCTGTTTTCCAAAAATCTAGGTTCTCCGAGCTTATGCTCTTGGTCTCCTGTTGACACATGCGATGATTCGAAAAGAGTGTGTGGTTTGAACCCTCCGGACGGCTTCTACGATCAATGGGCTGTTGAGGCCAGTGCAAACCCCGAGTATCAAGCAGCAGACTGTCCGGCTTCCATTGTAACCGGAAAACCAGAAAAGATACAGGTCTCTAGCTAATGTTTATAATTACGCCTTTACATTGTTAAGATAAATGCACGTGTAATTTGTACATGCATATTTGTCACTGTCTACACCAACCGAACAGACAATAATTATATAAAGCAAAAAAAATAAAATATGTATCCAAGTGGTAAGTATCGTAGAATTCGAGCTACTCGTGCTCAGATCAAAGTATGGAAATTAACCATCGTCGGGGTTCCGTGTTATAAAGTGCCTTACTGCTCTCGAGCGATATAGGAGAAAAGAGTTGTTTCCAACAAAATTGACATGCAAACGTTAGTTATACAAGAACATGCATGTAGTAAAGAAACATACGTTCTTATGATGTGAGGTACATGTTCTAAGTCTATCTTAGAAACAAATTTGTTTAAAAGTCTGAAACTAGTTATTTGACCGGCGAAATATTTGACAAAAAAATAGGATGTTTGTCATGCTATGAAAGGTTAAAAAGCATATATGAAATACAATTTCTTTCCGTTATAATGTTATAAAAGACGTAAATGCCACACATTATTTACATTTAACATATCAAGAAGTTTAATATGTACAAGCTGATTTACTCTTATAAGTTTTTTTAATATTTTCCATATTCAGAAATGCGATGCCATCCCACCAGACACTTTCTGGCGGCCCTGTGGTGAATTTTTCGACGTGACTGGAGACTTTTGGATCCGTGTATGTTTATTTTGAATCTTAATTCATTTTCAACTCTAGCAACAAAGAAAACATATTTTAGAATGTGTAACAAACTGCAGGTTTAATATGTTAAAATATTATAGTTCAAATACATAAAGTGACAAACATGTTCAAACCCACTCTATCAAATGTTCTTCGTCTTTTCTTATACATGACGATTGGTGACGTTGCTTTGCAATATATTTTTTCACTTTTTTCTCTGATTCCTGACATTTATTTTTATTCAGTTTTTGTTCTTTTCATCCCAGGTACACATATATAAGCCAGTTGTAGCTATCGCTGTTATAGTACACCTTGCATCTGATGGGCGGTCTGTTTTCAACCACGATAAAAAGTCTATGAATGTTCAGCTTATAAATACTGACGATTCTGTTACATCTCTGACCAAGGAAAGCATTCCTATTTCATGCCAAGAGAATCCTGTCCTCGTCCCAGTGGTACAAGATTTAAGCAAACCATTCCATCTGACCAAAGGTAAGTTCATGATAATATATTATTTTATTGCTGCTGTCAAAAGTTATCTTCCTTTGTAAGAGTTGTCATACTTGATAAGTGTTCGCTATGTACAAGAAGCATTCGCATACATTATAATTATAGTGTAATACTGTTGTCGCTTCAAATTGTAGCGAGAAAGTTTGTTCCGATGAAATAAAGCGGTTTATTATTGTTGCGATTTGTTTTATAATAAAAAGACTTAATTGTTGTTTTTATTACATATCAAGTATATTTTGTTAGTTTGTAAACATTTTGATATGACTAGTTTCGGTGCTTTATTTAAGTGCGTCCTATACAAAATGATATTTTAATTTTCCTATGGGAGTTTAAGAGTTATTTCGTTTACTGCTGGGAGCGTTATTTTGCTTTACCTTTTCTTACAGGGGCAATTATTTCCTTCACGTTTTCAAGTATAGGGATATATGCCGTCAGGATAAGATCTAGTCCGTTCATTAACCCACCCGGAATTTCAGCATGTTTAAACAACGAAGTCTACTATCCACAGCATGGCGTATGTATCAACGATAAATGCACGAAAAAATCGTGCAACAAGTTCAAAGTCAAATATGGCGAAGCAGTGTGTTCTGGTCTTGAAAATGGCGATTCTTGTAAAATACAATGTGACAAAGGGTAGGTTTCGGGTTACTGTTCATGTTTATTTACTCCAGTTGAATTTCAGTACATTTAGTTTTGTTCTTGTTAATACATGTAAAGCAATTGGTATTCTAAATCAAACATACTGGTTGATGAAATGTATAAAACACGTTTACACATGTACAGGACATCCGTTTTTAACCCCACTTTTCGGGAGCGAAAGAATGGAGCTAGTATTGTCATGACCAATGGCACTTGCTGACGTTGGCATCGGCGTCGGCGTTGGTTAATCTTTTCGTTAAAGTCCATTTTCTCAGAAACTATGGAAGTTATATACCAAACTTGGTATACATGTTTATAGCCATGAAAGGACGCCATTTCAAAATTATTGTAATGCAAAGTTATGCCCCTTTTTTCAATTTAGATTTTCTTTTGTTCAGATAATCTGACAAAGTTATGCTTCGTGTTTTTCTTATGTTTTTTCTTCAAAGGTCAATTTCTTTAAAACTCTTCGACACTCCAAACTTAGAGTACCGGTTCAGATCTAAGGGGGGATTACTTTATCATTTATCTTTTCTCAGTTATGTCCCCTTTTTGACTTTTATTTTTCAAGGTACATTTCTTAAAAAATATTGAAGATACATATATTTTGCTTGATTTTATCTTTTTTTTAGACTTTTTGCTTTCTCTCAAAAACCGTTATTTAAAGGTATTTACTTCAAACTTGAAATGTACTATAAAGGGCATGTAAGTCTGCTAAGCTATTTTGCAGAGTTACGTCTCCTTTCCTATGTTTCTTTTATTTAACTATCTAGCATTGAGAAAATACGGCCGCTGTCTGCAGTCTTGTTAAAGTCTCATATTAAATTTTAGTTATAACTGGCGATCGGTCTCAGGTTTTATTACTGGGTAAATACGCTCGATCTAACCTAGTACATGCGGTTTTGATTTTGTTTAATTCAGGTATTATGTAAATGGACACGAGAACAAAGCCGAGTGTGTTAACGGTGTATGGATAACTTCGTCCCCTTTAATATGCTCCCCTGTAGACTGTGGCAAACCGACGGTCAAACAAGCTACTGTAGCGTGTCCTGAGGGAACTTTTTACTCTAAAAATTGCCACTTCAAATGTAACAAACCAGCTTCAGTACTTGGTAAGATGCCTTAATGTTGAAAATTTATTTTCATCTTGCATAACATTTCATTTTCCTACCAACTTTTCACAATATGCAATGAAAAAAACTAACAATATAAATTTCATATATAATGCACTCAAATTTGATAAAAATGAATATAATTTCAACAGTAAAACATAAGGTATAATATACGTGTACATTGTATATACAAAATGTATCAAGATTTCAAGTCATTCACTACTGAAGTTGCCCTCAGTATAAATCATTTTTGCTTTGTCATTGCTTTGTATCAACATAATATTATAGCTTCATACAGTATTCTAAATTATGTCTTCATGAACATTTGTATGCGACTTGTATTTCCCAGGAGATGATATGAGTCTCACTTGTCAACGAAATGGTCGTTGGTCAAAGCCAAAAGCTGCATGCGTTATCCAGTGTAAAGCGTTGGACCCTATAACATATGACAATGGTAAACTGAAGACAACCTCGTGTATAAAAGGTCCACAGCCTGTTGGCACCCAGTGTAAAGTAAGATGTCAGGAAGGATACCATGTTCAAGATGAAAGAAAGAAAAGGTATATATCTTGTAAAATGTTGTTATGTTAACTGCCGATAAAGTCGTTGAACAACAATATATAATCGGTTTCTCTAAACATTACAATGAAATCCATTCTAATATCACCTCCGAAAGAATATGCTTAATGTGAACAACACTGATTTATCACATACCCGTACGTACCGCTCTTGTGCCTCCGTAAAATGGTATTGCACGGTCGTGCATATACTTTGACGTGACGTCATATGTGTTATACAAACAAAGTATAAAGACGTTAAAAATTTTCCTTTTCATTTTTAGGGGGCCTCCGTGGCCGAGTGGTTAAAGTCGCTGACTTGAGATCACAGGTCCCTCACCACTGTGGGTTCGATCCTCACTCGGGTCGAAATCTTTCATGTGAGGAAGCCATCCAGCTGGCTTACGGAAGGTCGGTGGTTCTACCCAGGTGCCCGCTCGAGCCTGAAATAATGCCCGGAGGGGCACCTGGGGTCTTCCTCCACCAATAAAGCTGGAAAAAAAAATCGACGAAAAATCTCGGCGGGACGCTCTAGGATGACCCGACTTGAGTGTACGGTCGCCCATATGGGCTTTCCGGCGGCGACCTTAAATAAACGCATTAAAAAAAAAAAAAAAAACTTTTCATTTTAAACAGCCTTTATTTCGGGTATGTGATAAAAAGAACTGAATTTCTTGAATTCGTTGATTAAAATAATTTTATTCAACTCGTTCTAGAAATTAAGTATTGAACTAACAGCCATTTAATATCTTCTATTTGTTGTTTTGTCGAAGAAATTTATTTTATTAATATGAGCGTGTAAAACATTACAATATTAGATCTATAACATTAATTTCTAAAATTTCAGACGTTTCCTTCGCATTATATGTGATGAAGACGGGGAATGGTTTGGGCCAAAATGTGTACCAAACACGTGTGAACCGTTACCGCGCATATTCACAGGCGCGTATGTGTGCACAAATGGATTTCAAAGTAGCAGCACGTGCAATATGAGTTGCCCGGGTGATTCAGCGGTCAGTTTATTTCATAAATTTATAAAGACTTCATCATAATAACGATATTTTAGTTGTTATATTTATAATTCAATACAATACAACCCGGACGGCCAAGAACAGATAAAGCTAAAACCTGCTTGATGATTGCTGCACACTCTGTTCTAAATTAAATTACATCTACGTGCCATGCCTTGTTGAAACTTGTTCTTAATTTTTAGACTATATGACTTCATATATAATGCTATTTATAGGCGTTTCAAACAGTTACATGCTTGTCAACCGGTGAATGGAATGAAGAGTTGCAGGAATGTCCACTAGATGGCACTGAAACCTGTCCTGTTCCGGTGTCCAAAGGAAATATTAAGTTTGACTGCGATTCCACTGTTCCCGGTAAGTCATGCTGTTTCAATATACCATTTTAAAGATTTATGATGGACGAATTTATGTTAAATCCCTATCTTAACGATATATAAGCCAGTGTCAAAGTGAAGAGCCATATCTATATACCTTTGTTCGTATACGATTAGGTAAACAGTCTTGGTGCGTGAGTATGAATCCAGAATAAATGCTTTAATATTAGCAAATGGGTTGTGTGTCCCGGTTATTAACGCTAAACTTACAAGAGATGAGTGAATGTGAGTGAATCATAACGTTTGTGAACAAAATTTAATTAGAAAAAAAACAGTTTTTCCCTTATTCACTACAATTATGATGTTTAAAAATTTGAACAGTGCAACAGCTAATAGAAATCTTTCTTTCGTTCTTTTTACAGTCAACCTGGTGACACGCTGATAGTGTTTTCATAGACACATTTTACACCGCATGTCTCAATAGTTTTATCGTTTAAGTCGCGACCGCGTCAGACAAATGTAAAACCCGGTAGTCAGAACAATTTTTCAAAAGACATAATTGATCAAACAGCTGACTAAAACTAAGTTCTTAAACCCAAACTAAATGTTTAAATTTATGACGAATCTTTTTTAAAAAAAAATTACGACATAAATATTCACTTAAAATAAAATGTTCTGAATATATATTTATTTATAGGATCAGAATGTACAATATCTTGTATGGATGGTCACAGTCCGGTGTTACGAAGCTTTCAGTCGTCTGCGAACAAAAACGACCACTTTACGGACACGATAGTGTGTACAGTGCTCCAGAAATGGGATCCGAGCCCCAGTCATATCACCTGTGTGGAACCGTGTATAGAGGTAGGGCGTTTAACGCAGGTTCTTGAGAATACGATCTATGATACAGCTTTCTTGTAATAACAAACATTGCCACGTTTGAAGTAGTTATTGTATGTTTATATGTTTCAGTTGTCATTCAGTGTTCATTTTGTAAAGTTTTAAATAAGAGAGATTAATTACGACATATAATTAGATGTTTAAAATATTTCGGATTAAAAGACCACATTTTCTCGACGATTAAACGATCAATATGCCTTATAGCTGATTCAACTTTTGTTGAAATATATTTTCTTTTCAGTTTTCCATCAGTGACGGATTTTGCGATGCCAGTAATAACCGGGATGTGTGCGACTGGGACGGGGGTGACTGCTGCACGTCCACTGTGCTAGGTGGTATGGTGCTACCCATGCCCGAGGATTGCACGGTTGAGTGCGCATGCAAGGACCCGCTAGCTATAGAGAACAGACGTCGCAAGAGAAGGCATAAACACCCGTACTGGAATACTTAATGTTGGCTGATATGCCGCCATTTTCTCAGACAATACATTCATTAACTCTCAATGCTTGTTGTCATTTTAATCTTAAGAATATTATTGTTTGTTTCAATACATGCCGAATGCTTTTTTAAATATGTTATGTATCATTCTTGTTCTGATAACAAGTTTTTTTTTCATATATTGCCAATTAGATGATGTGTTAATATCACTGACGATTTTGTTTTCATAGACTAATAAACGCATCCAAAATGTCCACATAAAAAAACTGATGTAACAATGAAATAAAGTTAATTGAAATTTTCTTTTTTACTGAATGTCACATTCGTTTTCATGTTTTCGGGTCATTGGTGTACGCTAGTACTGCATCTGGCCAATGGGAGTAAGCGTGCATAAATTCACCAGAACTTTTTCGACAGAACCACGAAAAGGTCATCCCTAAAGCTTTAAGCGAGACTGTAGTTACCTCCCCATGCAGCAAGTTCGTAATGCTGGTTACTTCCCCGAATACTTTACACCCCGGATCATTAATTAAAATTCCTCCCCTATCTACTGCTGACGATGCTGTGCTAGTAACCTCCCCCGAAACTACTGCCCCATATTGATTTGATTTATCATAAATAAATTCAACTACCGGTACTGAGTATATTAAATAAAACACGAAAAAAAGTAGAACGAGCATGTAATTTAATATACTGAATGAAATAACACTTCATATATTTTTAATTAAAAGATACTGCATAAGGAAATACGAATTTTACAGCTTTGCTTTTCTGATTTTACTTTGCGTTATTTTAACAAACATGCAATTCATTTCAATCTTATATAAAAGTAATGATATTAACGTGCGTATGTATACAGGTTAATGTATAAGAGCAAATCAAAAAATAAAGTGAAAATGTATAGAATAGGTCGGAAAACTTCACAAGTTAATTGTTGATAATTACTTTTGATAAAAATAATCCTTGATAATTAATGGAAGAACATACGACAAGATCCGACCATAGATAACACTCACGTCTATAAAATATTGTAGACGGTGGTAGTTTGAATGGATTGTAAACTGTTTTATTTATTACAATAATTGCTTGCAGCATGAAGATTGTAATTCTATATATAAAGCTTTATATAAACAATAATGAAACAAAATTCATAAAATATTCTAAAGTGTTTTTTCCTTCCAGTATCAACCATTAAATTTATGATTAAGCAATTCAATATTTTTAACATGAATAAAACTTTTAAAGTTTAGTTCATAAATTAAGATGCGCTAGCTTATAGTTGCTGTGTACGCAAAAAGGCAATTTTTACACAAAATAAAAATATAAGAATATATATGTATATACATGTATTCTGTAACTTTTACAATAATATTATATTATTTTACAATTCAATTCAAATAACTGTATTTGTGGTCTAAGGCCTCCGGCCCATAATACATAAATATAAATCAATTATTTTTGGTTAACATGCGTTAAAAAGGTTGAGAAATAATATTTACATTTATTATATACTTATAAATGAAATATTGAGAAATATTGATGAAATAAAATGCGTATTTTCATTTTCCGTATTTTCACTGTAAAAATTTATTTTTCACTACAGTGAAACATATTTTCCGTATTTTCACTGGTGTCTTGCCGGACTACTTTCTTTTAAATTCTGCCATTACACAAAATTTAAGGGAAAGTCTTTCAAATTTTAATGTCAAAAAAGAAAAAAATATATATATAAAAAAGAAAATTCAAGTTTTTTCTATAAATACATGATTTATTTTCATCTTGTGGCATGAAAATTACCATATTTCATTTGTTGCTGCCACCACTCATGAAATATTAATTTTCATACTTAAAAACGAAATATTAAGAGGATATTTTTTCGTTTGAGTGAAATATGGAATATATTTTCACGAAACATGATAAAATGCCACATATTTTCACGAGCCGGGACGGCGAGTGAAAATATTTGGCATTTTATCATGTTGAGTGAAAATATATACCATATTTCACGAAAAACGAAAAAATAACCTTTTTATTTAATTTTATTATCAAAGAAAAAAGTTACGAACCCCCTTGCTTGCTACGCAACTGCAAGTGTACAGCGCGTAATAATATAATTATTGTCTTGTTTTTGCACGCGATATTTAGCGCTACATTGTGACGTCACGTAAACAACTCTTTAAACGTCTGTACAGCGTTAATGACTGAATAAAAGATATTGGTGTTCGGATTAATTTTCTTAGTTAGACCATTTTCTATCATTCTAGACCGTTTTCAAAACAAAATTCAACAAAAATTTGTTTTGTATTTATCAGATTTTTCAAACAAAATGGCGAAAGAAGTCCCCCAAAATAAATATGAGTTTTGACTCCGCCTACTTTCATATTTATATTTCATATTTATTTTTAAAAAATATGAAATATATTTGACTGATATAGCACCATATTTCATGGGTAAAATTAAATAAATAGAGGATATTCAAGTTTTTTCTATAAATACATGATTTATTTTCATCGAGTGGTATGAAAATAAATATTTCATGAGTGGCGGTAGCCACGAGTGAAATATGGTAATTTTCATGCCACAAGATGAAAATAAATCATGTATTTATAGAAAAAACTTGAATTTTCTGTTTATTATATACATTTTTCTCTTTCTGGACATTAAAATTTGAAAGACTTTCCCATAAATATTGAGTACTGGCAGAATTTAAAAGAAAGTAGTCCGGCAAGACACCAGTGAAAATACGGAAAATATGTTTCACTGCAGTGAAAAATAAATTTTTACAGTGAAAATACGGAAAATGAAAATACGCATTTTATTTCATCAATATTTCTCAATATTTCATTTATAAGTATATAATAAATATATATATATATATAAGCAAAAACGCTATTTAAATTTGCCGTAGCTTTCGGCCTTGCGGCCTTCTTCAGCAGCATTTATTTCACATACAAATATATCAAACAAAACAATGGAAGTGACGTAACGTCAATGAACGACGTCCGCCGTGGCGTTGGTTGCCGTCTGCCGCGTTATTCTTTTGTATTAACTCCATACGGTCTATAGGTTCTTAATTTATTTTTCCACAAATTTTCTATTGTTTTTCTGTATTGGTCATTCCCGTATAGCTTTTCCAGCCCCATTATCGAAAATCTTTTACTGTGTGGTCATTCGTGTAAAAATGCGCCGCTAACGGATCGTTGTACTTGGTTCGTATTCTGGATAAATTTAGAAGGTGTCTTTGGTACAACGTATCCCCTGTTTCTCCAACATAAATATAACGTTCGCAACGCTTACAATAAACTGCATACACAACATTCGTAGATTTGCACGTGATCTGATTTCGAACCTTATACGAGGCTCCGTTCACACCAATGAATGTGTCTGCTTCAATAACGTACGGACAAATCGCACACTTTTTGGATCTGCAAGGAGCACAGGAATTCGGCTGTTGAAAAAATAGTTTATTATGTTTCTTATGAACGAGAATGTCTTGTAGATTATTATCTCTTCTAAATGCTGCAATTGGTATATATATTAAAACGTGATGAATGTTCCTTGTGCAGTGTTGAAATATATAAAATTATAATGTTTAAGAAATAACAAACTCTATATGTAAAATCGGTAGCGCTTTCAATGCTTTCTTTGCATATCTTCAGCCGAAACTTTAATAAACATATAAACAAATGACGTAACGTCATGAAAAAAAGCGGGAACGTTAAATGATAACGTATTTCCCGGCAAACACATAGAGGATATTTGTTTGTTTGTGTGTAAGATGAAATTTTATTTCATCGAGTGGGCTTTAAAAACAGTATTCTCACGAGTGGCGTAGCCACGAGTGAGAATACTGTTTTTAAAGTTCACGAGATGAAATAAAATTACATCTTACACAACAAACAAACAAATTTTCTTTTTATTTTATGCTAAAAAACAAGTTTAAACGAAATTTCCATAATATTAACAACAACAACAACAACAACAAAAATCCTTTTATTTGGTCAATGGTCACAATTACATGACAACAGACATTACAAAAGTACTATACTATTTTAACACATGTGGGTTAAACCAAAATGATTAGTACTATAAGAAATTAAGCGTACCAGTTACTATAAAATAAATACATGTACTGGATATTACTAACAGAATGACGGGATACCAGTGAAAAAAGTTATTGACACCTTTTTCCATACACAAATATAAATATCTTTTATCAACTGTTAATATTATTCGTTTGTTGTTTCTTTTTACAATAAGCAAAAATAATCTAACAGAGATGAAAAAATAACAACAATAATAAAATATGTCATTGGTATTAATAGTGCAGACGATCGAGCCCGTGTTTGTGTCGTATAAGTAGGTTAGGAGAATTGAGTCACGGGTAAAGCGTGAAGAGTAATAAATAATATTGGGAGAATTAGCTCACGGGGAAAACGTGACGAAATATTAAAGGTATGCCATTGACTAGAAACTGTATCGTAAAGCAATTTGACATAGTAGACATGAGCAAAACAACGATGATTTTATATGATACGTAATTATCAATTATAGTATTTCATGATATGTGAAACGAATAAGCTTAACTTTTTTAGTGTTTCAAAATGTGTAGTGTTAAGAAGTTGATTATACTTGATGACATTTGGATTCTTATAATAATACTCTGGAATCAATTGTTTCCTTTTATTTCGAAACAATTTACACGACATAATTGCATGATATTCATCACTTAGTGTTTGGCATTCTATACAAATTCTTTCATTATATGGAGTATTGTTATAACGGAGTAATTCTACCGGCAATCTATGATTTGACGTACGAAATTTCAGAAGTGGTAAGTAAAACTGTCTTGGTAAAATTGTAAGATATTCTTCACGTTTGTGCTGCTGTTTGAAAAAGATAATACAGTTTACCTTTGTTTGATACTTGTAATTTTGCATTCCAGTCAGCGATAAACTGATCTACGAGTACTTGTTTAATTAAGACATGTATACTTTTGGAAGTTATGGAAGATTGATTCAAAAACAAATATGAGTGACCAGTATTGTTCAAAATATTCTTAACAAATTCTGACCATCTAAATAGGTGTTCACTATGAACCATTATGTTATAAATAATACTTGAATACTTATTTTGATCGCTATGTATAATTTTATTCCAAAACTTTATGATTCTGCTTTGAATAATTATGTCTATTGGGTATCTACCCGTTTCACCATAAAGCATATAAGCCGGGGTACTTTTTCTTGAGTTTGTAATTTTTCTAAGGAATTCTAAGTGGACTTTCTCTATATCTGTATT